GCCCCAGCCACCCAGCCCCCTCTACTCCCAGGCCTGGCCCCAATCGCCCCAGCCACCCAGCCCCCTCTACTCCCAGGCCTGGCCCCAATCGCCCCAGCCACCCAGCCCCCTCTACTCCCAGGCCTGGCCCCAATCGCCCCAGCCACCCAGCCCCCTCTACCTCCAGGCCTGTCCCCGATGGCCCCAGCCACCCAGCCCCCCTACCTCCAGGCCTGTCCCCGATCGCCCCAGCCCCCTCCACCCCCAGGCCTGGCCCTGATCGCCCCAGCCATCCAGCCCCCTCTACCTCCAGGCCTGGCCCCCATCGCTCCAGCCACCTGGCCTGGGGGTTCTGGCCCTGATTGCCACGCTCTAGCACTAAATCCCCCGGCCAAGCGTCTGGCTCCGTGCTGCTCCCAGCACTTACCTATGGAATCCGGCTGGCCCATTATGCTCCTGCCAGGGCCAGGGGAGGCCCCGCTCTCTGGGGCGCCCTCGGGGCTGGTGCCCCGCAGCAGGGAGGCCAGGGGGTTGAAGGAGAGGCAGAGGAAGACGAAGGCGCAGAGAGCCATGCGCGAGCGATCCAGCATACCCAGGCTGCCGGTGGACAGCTGCTGCTCCTTCTTCCCCTGAAAGCCAAGTACAGAGGTGGGCGTGAGGCCTTGCTACAGGCGCTGGGTCTGCTCCGGCTGAGATGGAGGGGCGGTACCCACAGAGCGCGCCAGGGCGTGAAGGTGAACGGCACCAGCTATGCCTGGGGGGCTGGGAGCCCGTCTGCGCTGCACAGATCCGTCACCCCCTCCCCCTGGGCAAACCAAGCTGGGCCTGCCCCAAACGCCCTGGCACCCGACAGGAGCCTGCACGTCTGCCGGCTGGGTAACGGGCCAGGCCCAGGGACCGTCTCTAAGCAGCGTGGCTAGGGCTCGCCCCTGGGTCAGGTGTTTGACCTGCCAGCCCCTGGCTCCAGGCGGGGGTACCGCCAGAGCCGTCTCCTGCCCAGCCCAGCGCCCCCTGTCACGAGACCTTGGTCTCCTCGAACAGCGGGCTGTCGGGCTCCGAGTCGCTGCTGCTGCTGCTGCCGCCGCTCAGCGAGAGGGGGCTGCTGTGGGAGGGGGAGCCCACATCCGAGGGCGGGGGCGTCAGCATGTCCATCATCTCTGGCTTGATCTCCTCCATGGGCACGTCCGTCTTCCCGCCACACGTGGCCACCAGGTCCTTCAGGGACTCTGAAAGCAGAGGGGGCATGAGGAGAGCCCCCCCAGGCAGCTGAACCAGCCCCGTGGCTTCGGAGAGCTTGTGCCACCCTGCAATGGGCTGGGGCTGCTGGGGCATTCATCGCCCTGGGCTGGGCAGTGCCCCACAGCACCCCCCCACTGCCCCTCTGCCTGGCCCGCCCCACAGCACCCCCCACTGCCCCTCTCCCCTACAGTGCCACCACACATCATCTCCCCCCCCCCGCCCAGCCCTCATGCAGTCCCCCCTCCCCCCTGCTGCTGCCCCCCAATCCCAACCCACAGCCCCCATGACCTGCTACTGTAGTCCTGGGCCTCTGCTGGGGCCAGGCTGAGACCCTCCAAACTCACTTCACTGGTGGCATAACCTGGGTTCAACTCCCAACTCCCTCAACTCCCAAACCCTCCCCCCGCCCTCCAGCCAGGAGAGCCACCCCGCACTCACTGTTCTTCTGGGCGGCCATCTTGAGGGCCACGTTCTCCTGCTTCAGCTTCTGGTTGCTCTGCCGCAGGAAGCGGATGTAGTCGATCGCCTTCCTCAGAATGGCCGACTTGTTCATCTGCCCGAGAGAGAGACACGGGCGCTCAGGCACAGTTGCCCCCCATCGCCGGACACAGCCAACCCCGGGGAGAGTGGCCCCCGGCAATGCTGCCCTCCCCCCCACCCCCATGCTAACCGCTGTCGGGTGCTGTCCCTGCGGACTGGGCGGCAGAGTTCAACCCACCGGCCATGCCTGTCTCATGGTGGCACCAGGATGCGACATGGCCACCAGACCCAGGCAGCGCAGGGACGGGCAGGAGCCCCTTCAGGCCCCACCCCACCGTACCCCCAGCCAGCTCTGCTGATGCCCCTCTTTCCCAGCCTGCAGCACCTCCCAGCCCCCAGCAGCTGGAGGGAGGGGGGAACCACAGCGCTTGCGTCTTGGGACAGACACCCCCACCCTGCTGCAACAGGTCCCACCGCTGCCC